TGATGCTGGGGGAGGGCTCATCCGTGAGGGGAGTTCTGCCCGGTCTCAGGTACCCGGCGGATCCCGGCGTCGGTGTCCGGGCTGGGGAAGAGGGGAGGGACGGGGGCGGCCTCTGGGATTTGTAACTTGGGCTGTGACATTTTGGGATCGGGGGGTGCTCCGGGTGCGGCGGGGGCCACCCGTGTCGGTCCCGGTGCCCTGGGACCGGGGGTTCTGTGCCAGCTGGTTCGGGCCTCGGGTGGCCACGATGGCAAAGCAGCAGCGAGGTGTCAACCCCCCCGAAGTGTCTGGGGGAGCCCCCCCATTTCAGAAGGGGTGTGTGGCTTCGGTGCTGTCTCTGTCCCCGCACGGAGACACTTTATCCCCCCCCAGCAGGACAGGGTGCCCCCAGCTCTGCAGCAGCTCCCGGGGAGCCGAGCTGCCCCGTCCCCCAACGGAGCGATGCTGGGGGGGGGGGGCAGAGGAGGCTCAGCACCCCCCAAACCGGGGCTCTGCCGGGCCCCTCCAGGGAAAAAACATCCGTCCCGGTGCCAGGGCGGTGGGAGAGCGGTGCCTGCCCCCTCCTCATCCCCCGGGTGATCCCCCGGGAGGGGGCTGGAAGGCAGGTGGGGGGGGGACTGAGCATCCCGGTGGGAATTGTCAAGGTAAAGGAGCGATAACCCCCTTCCCGAGCGCCTCCCCCTTCCCTCCCGCCCGGGGAAGGCCGAGGTTATTTTGCTGGCAGGAAAACGCCCCCCGGCTCGGTCCTGGCACCGGCTGGTGGGAGATGCCCCCGAAACGGGGCCGAGCTGCTGCTCGGAGCTCATTAGAGAAGGGTGTTTTCGGGGGAGGAAAAGCTTTGAAGGAAATGGAAAATTGGAAATTCCAATTTCTGTTGGAAATGGGAAAGAAGTGGAGGGTGTTTAAAAGGAACATTTGCCCTCCTGCAGAGAAAGTTGGTTCCTGAAGACTTCTGTGGTTTCACGTTAAAACCCCCAGCAGGAGACACGGAAAGAGATGGAGCCTCTGAGTTGATGCGGTGGTTTTTCAGGACATGAAAAGAGGGTGTTTTGGGTAAATCTCCCCAGTTGCGGGGATTTCCAGTGCTAAACAGCAAAGTGTCCCTTAAGCTGAGCTCAGACCAGACGTGACACGAGTTCAGCACGTTCTCAGCCAGGATTTTACGGAGTGTTTCTCCATCGTACACAGGGGTTTCTGTCTGCGGGAGGAGGCTGGGGACTGAGAGGGGCATCTCCCGGCCCCGTCACAGCCCTGCTGGGCTTTTGGGTTAGTGACTCAATTGCATTTAGAAAAAAACCCTCTTCTTGCAGTTACCCCAAGGGTGGGCCACGAGGCCCTTGCAGAGGGGTCCCCGGCCGTGTCGCCAGCGTGGCTGATACTTGAGGCTGATATTTTCTGCTATAACGTGCTGCAGTTTCCACCTTTGGCAGTTAAAATCCGAGCCTGGGTGGTTGGGGGGGTCGATCACCTGCCCAGCGCCTGGGGCTGCGAGGAGGGACCCAAACCCCGAGTGTCCATCCAGCCGAGGCGAGTCCAGCTCTTCTGAGGAGTGGGCTCTGGGGGGGTGTGAGTTTTGCAGGGGGGGCTGGGGGGCTCCCTCGGGGGTGGTGGTGGGATTTTCGGTGCAGATCTGTCCCTGGGCTTGGGGCGTGGGGATTGTGGTCTGTGGGATGGCACCAGTGGCGTGTGGTCCATCATCACCTGGCACAGATTCTGGGTGCGGGGGGGGGAAGGTGCTGGGTACCAAGGGGGGTGCTGGCCCCAGTGGCCTTGGATTTGCTCGTTGGGTGTTTGTGGGGGATCCCAACCCCCCCTGTGCAGTGGGAAATACCTGGCTTGGGTGAATCCCTTTTGGAGTGGTGATGGCTCAGAGGAGCAGCCTCCTCGTGCTCAGGATGGATCTCCCGTAGGACTCTCCTGGGAAAAGCCCTGTGGGAGGAGGGCAGTCGGGCTTCCCCCCGCAGGGATCGATTCCTGGGGAATGGCATCATCCAGACCCCTCAGTGCCCCAGGATCGGGGCGGCTCCGCTCACACAGGGCCGGGGCAGAGCCGGGGGCACCAAGCAGCCCCGCGGTGATGGGGCAGGGCTGGGGGTCACTGAGCGGCCCCGCGGTGAGGCCGGGAAGGTGTGGAAGGCAGAGGCAGATGGAAAGGAGATCAGACAAACAGCAACGGGCTGAAACAGCCCCTGGAGGGGAGGCGTCTGCGCAGAGAGCGATAGAAAATGTCACCCCTTAACTCTCCCGAGGTAAATCGTGCGGCTCCGTGGCTCCGTGGGGCCGCTCTCCGGGTCCCCCGGGGTGTCAGTCCCAGCTTCAGCCCCTCTGCCAGCAGCTGTGGGGCTTTACCCACCTTTGCTCTGTGCTGGGGAGAGGAGCAGGGGTTGGGAGCAATGGAGGGGGGGGAGCATCTATTTAGCATCCCTGCTAAAAAAAAAATGAGAAGATAGCATTTCTTTTTCTTTTTTTTTTTTAATTTTCCCCTGTATCCTTACTCCTCGTCTCCCACCTTGCAGGCTGTCCCGCTAGCGGGGAGCGTTTGCCATGGACACGGGGCACGTCAGCAGATACCATGTAAGCGGTGAGTACGGCTGAGGGGGCTCTGGGGAGGGGTTTTTGGGGGTGGGCAGAGCTGGGGGGTCTCACGCTGAGCTGCTCTGGGGGGGGACCTGCTGATCCTCGCTCTCTCTGCAGGAGCTCCCCTCTGCGCCGTGTCCACACAGGGCTTAGTTTCCTAATAGGAGGGTAAAACCCTTAACCCCCTCCAGGCTGCCCCACAGCAGGGGCTCTGCCCTAGAAAAACCTCTCCCCTCCTGGGGGAGGTCTGAGCAGGACGGGGATTTCCAGCAGAGCTGGGGTTTGCACCTGGAGTTATTCAGAAGTAGGAGCCCATAAAGTGTTATTTTGCCCCAGTTTTGCCCTCTGCTGTAGCAGGAGCGTGTGAACTCCTGGGAGCTGGATGGCACCGAAAAACTCCGTGCTCAGGAGTTCCCTGGAAAGCAGCAGCGCTTCCCCAGCGTCCTGCGGGGGATGTCACACAAATCACAGCCCTGTGTGACTGCAGGGGGTTGGCTGGGGGGGAGGAAGCAGGACCTGGCTCCTGCCCCGAGGCTTTAACTTGTGAGATCCCTCTTGGCTGCTCCTGGCCCTCGGAAGGGATCAAAATTAGGGGCTTTGGCTGTGAATAGTTGGTTCCTTCTGACACATCCCTTTGCTGGCTGCTGCCGGAGGAGTTTGGGATGGGGGGCTGTGCTGGGATGAGGTGTGGGGGTTCGCTGCCTCGGGCTGCTCTGGGCTCTGAAGCTGCTGCCGAAGGAGGAAGCGCGGTGGCTGAGGCGGGGGGGGCTCCCTGGTGGAACTCTGCAATGAGAAACCTGTCTTTTTCTTTTTTCTTTTTTTTTTCCTCCCTTTTTTCGTGTGTTCCGCGGAGCGATCGGTGCTGGTTGGTGGCGGGTGTGATGGAGGCTGGTGCAATGCAGCAGCCACCGCTCCGTGCTCCGTGGCGGGGCGGCCGCGTCCCCCGGGCTCTCTCCTCCCTGCGTTGCCTCAGCAGCGCTTGGCTCTCCCCCTCTTTCCAAAGGCTTCTTGTTTGGGTTTTGGGGTGGTTTTTTTTTAACTCCCTATGTCTGGATTTTTCTTGGCATCCCCACCCCCGAGGAACCAGGCAGCAGCGAGGGTTTTGTGGGGTGGGGAGGGGGATGCACTGAGCACCCCGTGAGCGGGACGGAGCCGCCGCTGGTGAAGGGACCCCCCCGGGGGTGACAGAGCCGTGCTCTGACTTTCCATGTTTGCTGGGGAGCAGGGCTGCGATTCCCGTGCACTTCACCTCCCAGGAGAGCAAAGCCAGGACTCTGATCATTTCTTTTTGGCTTCCAAAGCTGCTGCCTGACACTGTTTCCCTCCGGCCCGAGTGGGACACTGTGATTTATGTGTCCCCCTGGCCCATCCTGTCCCCACAGCTCAGAGCTGAGGGTTTGGGGCGGGAGCAGCAGAGGATGGAGCCTCTGCCCCGGCCGGTGTCCGGCTGACGGTGGCTCTCATCCCCTGGCAGTGGCCACCAGCCCGCCGCGGTGGGAGATCGGCATCTACGCCGCCGGGGCGCTGGCCCTGCTGGGCATCGCCGCCCTCAACCTCTGGAAGCTCTGGCGCTCGGGCAGCTACCCGGCCCCCTCCCCCTTCCCCAACTACGACTACCGGTACCTGCAGCAGAAGTACGGGGCGGCGCAGCCGGACGCCAAACACAAGGTAACAGCGCCGAGGTTTGGCTCACGTCCCTCCCCTGGCAACGCACCAGCCCCTGGAGGGGCAAAAATGTCACCCCCATCCTCTCACTGCGGGGGGGAAGCCATCGGTGGTGATTTGGTGCCGCTGGAGAGTTTGGGGGGGCTGTGTTTGGGAGCACAAGGGCTTGGGAGCTGCAGGAGGCGCAGGGTTTGATGCCGCGGCATCTTGAGGCCGAGCAGGGGCCGTGGAGCAGCCAAAAAGGCGCCGGTGAGTCCTGGCCGGTGGATCCGGCTTCGTACGGAGCCGGGGACGGCATCGCCTGGTTTTCCTTTCCCTGTTGGCAGCGAGGGGTGGCCCCGCGGGCACTGGATAAGACCTCGCTCTCCCGCAAGAGCAGCCTCCGGGGGGACGACACCTTCGAGAGCATCAACGAGCTGGGCAGCCTGGAGCTGATGAGCAAGGACCTGGGCCTGGCCCACTACGGCCCCTTGAAGAAATCCATCTCGGCCGACTCCCTCAGCTCCATCTCCTCCATCGGGAACAACTTCGGGCAGGATTTCACGGTGGGGCAGGTGGAGGTCTCCATGGAGTACGACGGGAGGGCAGCCACCTTGCACGTGACGCTGCTGCAGGGCAAGGACCTGCTGGAGAAGGAGGACGCTCGCTTCGAGTCCTGCTTCATGCGCATCAGCCTCCTCCCGGCCGAGCAGATCGTCGGCATCTCCCGGGTGAGCCCCTCGTCCCCCCCCGGGCATGAAACCCCCCAGGTGTCCCTGGTGTCACCGCAGCCTTTGACGCTGGTGGCAGCGTCCCTTGGCGCAGCTCCCCAGGGCGGTGGTGGGGCTCCGGGGGACATGTGTGGTTGGCAGGGGATTTGTGGAGCCCTGCAGCAGGGGGGGTGCATTCAGCATCCTGTGGCCTGGGGGGGTCTCAGGGGGGTTTGTGCATCAGAGACCCGGCAGAGGCAGGACTCTGTCCCCCTTGGCTGGGACACGTGGTGGCTTTGTCCTCCCCGAGCGTGGCTTGTGGCCAGTTTTCCTGCTGGAGTCTCCCTGCTGCGGGGCTGGGGGTGCTGCGG